TATTTTCATAGGTTACTGCCACTAGCACAAGACTTCTCTGCCGTGTTACTGATTTTTTTCTGGATGGTAATGGGAGAGGGGTTGTAGGCCTCTGCCACCCACACCTTTTGACATCATTCATGTCCTAGTCTAAGTAGGACGTTGTATATTGTACATCACACAACTAGCTAGTAACTGTGAAACATTATAAGGCACCTGCTGCAGCCCTAGACCAAATTTATAAGCATTCTGGTCTTTCCGCAAAGAGTTTTTCCCTCCAAGGATGAGGTGTCATGAGTTATCGGATGCATTCTGGTGTACTAGTGAAGCATGTACGATCACGTGTGGCGTAGACCACACATTGCTATCATAACCTAGAACATACACTAGAATTTGGCGAATTCTGGAGAATAACTCTCTTGGGTGCATTAACTCTAAAATGAGAGGAATTTATTTTCTGAAACTAGTAGGGGATGTTGCCTGAAACCTATCAAAGAAACACAGCCACCTATGTCTATAAGACTATAACACTTAGCATCTTAACCAGGCTAGTATACAAATGTTATCAAGATGTTATACATAAATACAGATTGCATGCCCACCTCTCATTATCTGTGCGTATGAATGTTTTCGGTCCAAGCTCTATCCGTGTAATATTTGTGTTAATATCCAACACATGGAGGTAGTGGTATGGAGGAATACGGTAGATCGAATCCCTTGGTTGATTGCCTGTGTTTCTGTTCATCTTGACTTATTTCAACACACGTTCTTGTACTTTTGGTATAATGTTACTGTAAAAATGGAAATTTACAGATATCATTCACAGATTAATACCATAAATGCTCTCCAATTGGCCAAGAAATTCCCACGTCAATGCCATGTATAATTTATAGCATAACATATCAAGCACATCCATGCTTTTAAACTATGTGTATGCTGACTGACACCCCAGCTAATAAATTCAACAGAAACTTTCCTGCACACGTTTATACTTACCACAATAACCATGAGACTTGTTACTTGGTCTGTTTTGGCTATCTGGCTAGAGAAGTGGCCAAGTTCTCCACATAACATGAACGTACGTTATTTATGCATGTAATATTGACCCGTAGTTTATGTAACCAACCGAGTCCCTAGCAACTGTATTGAGTGTGTATTAATTACACAATGTGCTTCACAACTGGCACGCTGTTTCCAAATACAGTACTTATGATAGCCATGAGAAAGACGTGCATTTTCTTCTCCATCATTACAGACTTACTCAATCTCTGTATTTTCTTCATTATCCATCTTCTGCTTCACCCCTTGTTCTTATCCAATCCTGACAACATCCTTCAACCTATTAACCATTAATTTCCACCCGTATACTTCCTCCAACTCTACCTCCTCATACATGTATGTATAGCTCTCTGCTTCTGCTTGGCATCCTCCATTCATCTCATTCAATCTCCTCCTACCACTACCCTTCTCCACCTCGCTCTCCTCCTTAGCTAAGACATGCAGCTCTGAACCTAGAAATTCATGTCTGTAAGAACAGTTCTAATGATAAACAACCACACTGGGAAATTTAAAATGTTGGTATAGTATGTAATAGCAGGCATATACTGCAGGTGTATACCGGCAGTACACAGGGAGACACAGACCCTGCGAGCACAAGGCGTAGCCTACCTCTAGGCTCTAGAACTATAGCCCGCGGCAACTGCACGCGAGCTATTGTCCTAGAGCTAGACGTAGCCGTGGGATTCGGCCCAATGCCAATACTCTGTAATTGTAAATACTCTGTACTCTGTACTCTAGCTGTAATTGTGTATGTTTCTGTGACTCTTTCAAGTTTCAATCTTTGCACATTCTCGCAATATTTATACGCTGTGGCTATATCTGGCACGGTCTTCGATTTCCTAAATGCCCGGCAGTTCCTAAACTTGTCCGCACGCAGACGTTATAATTCCGCTTTGCTAATCTGAGGGTGCGGGTTTAACTGGGGACCCATTAGTCATTACTGGGGACTATTCCTAACCCTAACCTAGCTCTAGTAACTATAGCCCGCGTACAGTTGCCGCAGGGCAACTGTACGCGGGCTATAGTTACTAGAGCTAACCTAGATACAATAATGTAACCCATGCAAACCCAAGAGGATAGGGGTCACCCTATCCTATTGGGTTTGGGTTACATTATTGTATCTAGAGCTAACCCTAACCCTAACCGGGTATATAGCGGCCGACGCTATACCCTTGTTTACTTGAGATAACGCTGAAAATTAAAAACTGCGGGCTGATATATATATAGCCGGCTGCCGGGCATTATAGCCACTCTGATATTTATACTTACTCCTTACGGCAGTCCCACTGGAACTGGCACTGTGATCCTCTGTACACCAAGAGCTAGAGTAGTAGAGAGAATAACAGTTATTCTATTAGTGTTATTATAACTGAACCACTAAACTTGCTCAACCACGCCTATGCACACGGGCAACAGACTCTAGACAAGGACTCTAGCGTGCAAGCAGGGATGTATCAGAACCGCCTACAGAAACTTTCAACCTATGTTTCACCATTCGTTGAACAACTTGCGTATTGTGGTGCAATGTTTGTTTTCCAGCTGACGTCATGGCAAACTCCACAACAGATGGCGCTCTCGCTCTGGCTCGATTCCCGTATTCTCGTATCCAGTCTGTGCAGCTGAGTTGCACACATAGAAATAAAATAGAAGTCTAAATAAAGTCTAATAAATAGAAGTCGAATGTTATATGCGTGCGTGCGTGTGTGTGCACGTACACGTGCGTGAGTGCGTGCGTGGGTACGTACACGTGCGTGCGTGCGTGTGTGTGCACGTACACGTGCGTGAGTACGTACACGTGCGTGCGTGCGTGTGTGTGCACGTACACGTGCGTG